AAGAGTAACGGCCCTAGTACTGAGCCTTGAGGTACTCCATACTGCACTTGTGATCGATATGATACCTCTTCATTCACTACTACGAATTGATGGCGGTCATACAAGTACGATTTGAACCATGCTAATGCACTTCCATTAGTGCATCATGCATAACCTATGTATGAAATATAGGTTTATTAAATCTAGGGTATTAAAGTCATTTTAAGATAAATAACATTATTTGCTAACAAATTGAAATGAGGTGAATGTTTTCAACAAGGTGGACACAGTTCTGTTCATAATGAAGAAGTGACAGGTAAGAAAAAAAAGGGGAGAGACAGAGATATTGGGGAAAATGAAGAAAAGGGAAAGGGAAAGGGAAGTGAAGGTGCAGTGCAAGAGAGAACCTTTAATTATTTTCAACATCCCCAGACTAAGGATTTAGACCTTTTTTATGTGATGGCCATACAAATAATAGGGTTGTCTGCTTTCAGAAATTGTTGTGGATGTATAGGCTATATTCAGGAAAGCCTCTGTTAGAGGCCTTTTTTTTGCTTTTGTTAATTGTATAATAAATAAAAAGAAAACAAATAGATATAATACAATACAATTAATACAATTATTATTTTTAAAAGGAAACAAGCAGTTAGTAAATAAATAGAGTGCAAGTCTAAAAGGGGCAATTTAGAGGCAAAAGAATAGAATTAGAATAGAGAGTGCTAGAGTTAGAGGGTCAAATAAAGATGGAAGAGATGTGTTTTAGCCGTTTCTTGAAGATGGAAATAAGGGGTCAAAATTGTACCTTTTGGGGTACAACAGCTTGTCACTGGAACAGTACCCTTAAAAGGACATATTTGTTCCTTTTTTACCCCTATTAGTTAGGCCTACAAATTAGTACCTTAAGGATATGAATTACTACTCTTATGGTACTAATATGTACGGTGTACTGCTATGGTGTCAAGCTGTTTTACCCCAAAAGGTACAATTTTGGCCCCTTTTTTTCTGTGTGGCCTGGATGAGTATGAGATTTCCCGGCCTGAAATTGCATCCCAGTCCGGCCCTGATATATATGTTGTAGCAAATTAGCTCAAAAGGGAAATATTTATAATTAATTACAACTGGTTATAATTAATAATAAATATTTAGATTAGATCTGAGAATTAACTGTAGCAGAATCAATATTATAATTATTTGATCTGTCCGTCCACCGAGCAGACAATATAATCATTTATCAATTCAAGGAAAGATTATTTTCCTGGCCAAGGAACAATAGCTTTCCTAGTTTTATGCAGTACTAGCAGTAATTTAGCATGTAGCAAGATTCAACATTCAGTGACCCCGAATTGTGAGCAGCACACAGGGGCAATCAATTGTGAATATAAGGGATTTAATGAATGAAACTATATCTAACATATAACTAACTAAGCACATAATAAAACACATATATACAGAATGAAGCAAAGTAAGGAAAAGAGAGAGAAAAGTAAAAGAATGGCAGTATTTCACATCAATTTTAACCACAACCTAATGAGAATCATCAAAGAATCAAAAAGCACCTTAAAAGGGGCTCAACTTAAACACGCATCAAATAGTTGTAAACAGTTACTTGCATTGGCTTCGATTGCTTATCAAGAGTCCTGATGCGGTAGACAACGGAGGTTCTTGATGAGTTCTTTTAGAAGTGAGCTGGAGGTTTTGCTCTGGTTCCTCTGAAGATAGAAAAGTCCACAGCGGATCGACGAAGTTACTTGAAGATAAAAACTGC